TATTCAAAAATAATTGGACATGCCGCTAAACCATGATACAACACTTCATCCACAAAGTGATGAGTAATTTAAAGCTATGATTCGGGTAATAGGAGATCGGTTGAGGTTGTCCTCTGGATTTTGAAGGCAACTTGGAAACCATATTTCAATAATAGAATTTGCATGCAAACATAACTATGAATCCAGTATAAAATGGCTCTCTATGCTGACCTAAAGGATAATTCTGTTTAGTTGGGTTGAAGTAGGAGAAATCACTATTAGGTCCACTTGTCAAGAATTAATTGATGAAGCTATGAAAAAAATCAGATTAAATAAGAGAGAGATTGAAAGTTGTTAAAAATGCTCAACAAAATTAGTATGATCCAATGCATAAAATGATAAAGTTCGAGACTAACGATTTTTTAATTGCAAAAGAAGCCAATAAAAGATACAACTAGATTTTGTCAGAGAAGCAAACAGAGTCCCAGATGTACAGGACCATTTGACATTATCAAAAAGATTGATAAGATGGCTTACAGGCTAGCACTGTCAATTGTTGTGTTAGATATTGATAATGTTTTTCACATATCAAAGCTGAGAAAATAGGTTGTCAATGTGAGTAATTGATTACAACATGAAAAAATTGAGGTGCAGAAAAATCTAACTTATATAGAAGAATCTGACAATTTTTTTAAAATTTAATGTTAGAATGTTAGAAAATAAACAGATCCCTTATGTTAAGACAAAGCAAAATGCAGGCCAGAAAAGCAACATGAGAAAAGGAATAAGAAATTAGACAAAAAATTTTAAAAGAAAAAGAAAATTGTAATACCTAACACGACAAAAAAGACAAGTAAAAATTTGTTTAAAATCATACCCCATTTTCCGCAATCTCAAATAAATCACAACTATTTTAAAAATTCTAAATTTCAATTGAATCATATTAATACATAAAGTTGTATATTAATTTTAAAGCATTAAAAAAATTAATTTCTTCACATTTTAATTATTTTACTCAAGATTTTTATTAAAAGTATTGCATCAATACTTAAGCATGCCACAGCACAGAAAATAAAATTCACTGATCATAGCATATAACAGCGAATTTTAGTAAATATAATTATTAAAGTTTGTGATCGCTTTTTAAATTAATTTAAATTACATTATTAACATGATAATACACACATATAAATACAACAAACCTAAAGAGCTCTCCGTTATCAACCTTTCGTAGCCCTCCAATACCTTGAGGAGAGAGCAAGCTGCTAACAGCCAAAATAGAATAAATATCAGGAAGAACAATAAGAGGAGAAAATGGACAAAAATAGAAGAAGGGGGAAATAAAGGGATAGAAAAGGAATGCTGGATTTTAAAAAATAGAAGGGAAATAAAGGGATAGAAAAGGAATGCTGGATTTTGAGAAAAGGTACATACGATGTACATATAAATAAAAAAAATGTTTATATTTAATAACATTTAACCTAAGAAATTCTTTTATTGCTCTCAAATTTGACGTGAACAAAAACTTAGCCAAATTTATTGGCAGAAACAGGTTTTCGTAGTAGGGTTTAATAGGGAGAAAAAGAAAGGAAGCTTTTAAAAAGGAATATGACAAAGGAAGCTATGGTTTGCGTGAGAAATTCTGGATTTTCACTGTCTGCAATTTGTTCAGATTCAAGTTGAACATAAAAAGAGCTTGAATGAGGAGAAATCATTTGAAATGAAACTTCATTTGCGGGTAAATTTGAATTAAATTGAATCTACTTTGTGAATTTCATAAATTTAATAAATTTAGTATTTACAGATTGTTTGTGTAAGGAGGTGAGCCTAGAGAAAAAATTCGTCACTAAGCTAACCCAACACCGAAATGAGATACTTTACTAAAAACAGGAAGCAAATAAAATGTAGAACAAATACTTGTTATTGCTCACTAATAAATTCAATCGATATATGTTTGTATTAAAAATTTATCTCATACTGCGCCTATTTCATTATGTTAATTCATCTAAATATTTACATGTTTATTTTCAATTTTATAGCATTTTTTAAAAAATGCAATATCAAATACAAATATTGATTTTAACATTTCCCTCTATATTTCTTGAGCATGTTAATGAAATTATTGTTAATAGATACATTTTTACTAAGCAAGAATTGCAAAAAAATTTATTAAAATAGATAAAGAAAATCAAAGAAATGTAATGCATTTTAATGGGTAAGCAACCAAAATAATGACATACACAAGAGAAAGCAAATTTTTTAACGATGTGAGATTCGGTAAGAAAATAAAAGTATTTTAATGGGTAAGCAACTAAAATAATGACAAGAGAAAGCAAAATTTTTAACGATGTGAGATTCGGTAAGAAAATAAAAGAAATTCTAGCTCATTAAATTAAAGATTGGAACGGTCTAGCTAGTATCAAGTGAGTGATAATGAACGTGACGTTTTATCAGAAATTAATATGATCAATGGGACAAATGACAACCGGATGAAATTTAATATGGCTATTCAAAAATAATATGGCATTTCGAAGACAAAAAGTTAAGCAAAATGAAAATAAAAATTAAGTGAATGTATATATGAAATTGTTTGGTATAGTGAATTAAAAAACTTGTGAGTAACTATAATAAGAACCTGTTAATTAAAATTTTATTAACTTAATAAAAAAGAATTTCGAAGAATTAAGACGAGGCATATTCCTCGTCTCCTCCCATTCGCACCCCCAGCACACAGAATGCGAGTGACGGGGAATGAGAGAGAGCAAGAGAAGCCAAGGGGGAGTGAGAGAAAGAATGAGAGACAAGGGAAGAATAAGAAGGAGAAGAAATAGGAGAAAGATACTTTAATCGAGCCGGATAGAAAGAAGGAAGAGCTCGTATCGCATTCTTCCACATCCGAGAGGCTCAAACAAGCTTTCTTCAGGCGACCGATCGCACTTCATTGTTCCGAGGCCAACACAAGCGTCGAAGCCAAAACAGACAAAGTCACGAGTCTCGTGAGCTCCAATCAAAACTTCACATGCCCTACCAAAGCAAAAGGACAGCTTGTGCGGCTTGTAGAGCTCGTGGAGAAGAAATAGCTCCCTGGATCTCTTTCACGTGCAGAACACGTGATCCCGAGTTTTGATTCGAGGTCTAGAAGTAGGAGACGGACCGTACAAGCTATTTTGTGTGCGTGAAGTTAACGATCAAACCATTTGACCTTCCCATCACGCAACTAAAGACCAACCCGCAAGTTTAAGGGCTACAATAAACTTTGCCTGCTCCATTCAAAGTGATTCGGGCAAGAGAATGAAAGAAAAGTGAAAATTTTCCATTCTACTTAAATAATATGAAAGTTAATTTATGAAACATAATTCAAAAATAAATTCAGTTAATTTCAAAAAATATTGCAATTGAAAATGATTTAATATTGCTAAAATTTATGTAGGAAGTTTGGCCAAGAAGTTAAGGCACGAAAAACAAGGAAGAGGAAATTTCAAATATAAACTTCGAACTGCAAATTTATTTAATATTTTTTCCCTTAATTCAAATTCAATTACAAAATAAGATTAAAAGTACAATTAACTTTCTTAGAATGTATTTAATTTAGATAATTTGTTAGAAAAGGTCAAGATTAAGAATAAATTAAAACAAGCGCATATATTAGTAATAATGAGTAAGGATTCAATTAGAAAAAAAGGCACATGAAGCTATTTAACCAGTTAAGTTAGAATTCTTGAAAAAGAGATACAAGATTGATAGAAACTAAATAAAACTGAAATGATATTAGAATCTAATTAAGCCTAATGTGTTATTATAGGTTCAAAAAAAGCAGAAGATTGATCTGAAGGATGGGACAATTTGACTAGGTCGTACAGGTGGGTAAATATATTTTTTTACAATAGCTCTGTTTACTTAGACGGAAGTTTAATGTTTCCCAACTTTTCTTTTAAAATGCATATTTTCATATTTTTCTTTTAAACGTTAAATATAAAAAAAAAAAAAGATGTATGCATGCATATGGGAGTCACCGTTTTTATTTTAAACGTTAAATATAAAAAAAAAGATGTATGCATGCATATGGGAGTCACCCTTGTAAGGTACTCACATAAGAATGTAATATACTCATGCATGCAAATGAAAATTATTATCTAACTTTATGATGTGATGGAAAATATTAAACGTATATTTTTTAAAACTATACGCTTAGACGGTGACACCCAATAATGAAAAATATAACTGAAATAAATGATAGTAAATGAAACTATTTTCTTCATTGTTTTATTTCTAATGGACATTGTTTTTTGCCGTTTACCGTATTTCACAAAATATTTAAAAAAAAATTATTATAACACTGAGTAGTTTTAACATAACTTTAAGTTACTATTATTTTACAGAAAAAACAATTTTAGGTTACATGAACCCCAAAAAGTATGTTTAGGCATCGAGGAATGAAGGATAATATGTATTAAAATTAAATTTTATTTATTACTAAATGTAAATATTTTAAAATGAATAAATTGTTATAAATATAAGTTTTATGAAATAGAATAGCTCTTTCGCATTTTTGAAGTTCGTTTAATTATGAAATAAAACTACTATACAGTTTTTCTCTGTCAGGCCAACAATTCTCGCCTTAATAATTTCAAACTCCTGGGTCGGGTCGTTACAATAACAACTTTATTTATTTTTTACAACCATTGCATCAAGTCATTAACTATTTACTATTATGCATTAAAAATTGTTTATTCATTAAAGTTGTTTTATTACACAAATAATTATCGTAAATGAATTTACTCATGTTATAATCACACTAAAAAGCGTGTTATCTTTTCCTTTCTAAATATTTGAACCTTATTTTAAGATTGCTTATCTCGTTGAGAATGGAGCTTGCCAAATAATATAATATTGGCTTTCAATGAGAGAGGTAAGAAATAGAGCAATCATCAATCACGTGATTTGTCCATTTATATAGCTTTTAATTGTACATTTTTTAATTATTAAAAGACAATAGTATCTAACATTAATAAAGACATTTTAGTATGCAAGATTTCATATTTTTATAAACTCTTAAAACCTATATTTTATTTTAAGATTGTTTTAAATACGTTTCCATATTAATGTTTTATGAATATTAGAAGAATTGAATGTAAGAACATACTTAGTGAAGATTTAATAAGCCCACTCCACTCACCTTATCCTAATAAATAAAAGCCAAAATGAATGTCAACAAAAATTGGGTATCACTGAATCGTCCTCCTGTGGTATGCCTAGGGTAGACCAGAGAGGGTTGACTATGTTGTGGCACCATTAATCATTCAAATTAGCATTACATCATCCAAGAAACCACTAAACCAACTACAATTTATTTGATGGATAAACTCCATGAGCTAACATTGTTGTCAACCTGGAATCTGAACAAAATTCAATAAAATGCCCAAATAGATCAAACAATGATGCTATATCAAAGGCGAATTTATTAGAATCCTACAAAATAAGCAAATCTTACCGTACAATTTACTTAATGCCCAATTCCCTCCACTTCAAGTGCAAAATCCATAAATTTTCTACATCTAATAAAAGGTTATTATTAACTTTATTTAATCACACTAGGATTAATTATAATCCCTAAAATGCCAAATATTCAACCATCACCTTTTTCACCATTATGCGAATAAATCAATCTCTTATTTTATTACCTTCTTACAACTGATGGGTGGAAGTCACCATGCAATAACACTGCAGTTATAGCCGATTCAAAGGTTGTCTAGGCACATTCAAGTGGCATGCCTATCAAAGTACCTATTTCAATCTAGGTATACAAACCTTAGAAAAATATTCAAATATTCAACAAATTGAAATCCAGGAGAGAGCACAGAAAATTGGAGAGAAAATGTACAAAAGTGAACAAAACAGTAATGTGCATAGAAAGCAACAGTAGACCAGCAGATTCAACAAATTTGCTTAAAGTTAAAATATTTCATGTCAATTAAGCAAGCATATCCAGCATGGAATGCTGCAAAAATTTGAATGTGCCTGGATATCCATATAAAACAAATTTACAAAGAAAGAATATGAATAAGCACCAACATACTTACTTGTGATTGGAACAGAAGCCCACTAGTTTTGGGAGGGGGGCCTACAACAACAGGAAGATCATATTTTTCAAGATAACTCCAGATAGTGTCTTTCAAAAGTGGAGAAATTCCAACGAAAGAAGAAATAACATTACGAAGTGCACCCTGCTCCAAGTTGCAGCATATGTAAGTAAAAGACCCGCAAAAGCAGAAAGAAAAACTCTTCACATTTGTTACCACAAACCTTCAAATATGGGGGTACATTTTCATAACTAAGAAGCTTAAAAAAGGGTTCAATATCCGGAAACCACTTCGTTCTCTCAGTGGAATCACCATTTTCAACTACCTGCAAGCAATATCACACCTGCACTGTCATTGAGTGTCAATAAACGATATTATGTGCAAAAATAAAAAAACCATTTAAGCATTTAAAGAAAAATTCAGAGAGCACAAAAAGCAAAAAGAAGCGATCAAACCATATAAATCCACAATAATTAAAAATCCAAGAAAGCAGAAAGTGATTACTGTTAAACGATCATCAAGAAAACAATTGATCATGGAAAGTGTTTTCAAATTGGATAAGCCAAGGCATCACCAGATCAGAATCCAATCTAGTGTTTTGGTTATTTCTGTCGTTTTGCAAAGATCATGAACAGCCATTCATAATGTCCAAAGCTCGAATCAAAAATAGAGAACAAGCTTTCTTAAATTTTGAACTTGGACTGCATCCTTCTAAAATAATACGTGGCCATTCTCTTAGTAACACTTTAATCAGCTATGACAAACAGCAAAAAGAAGTGAATATGAAACAGAAACAACAAAAAATTAATCTAAAAAACGGACTCCTATGCATAGTAATCATTTGTACTCATTCGTTATTTCATACATATTCCACAAAGATTAATTTACAAAAAAAAGAACCCAATGTTGCATGGAAAAAAAGTGATTTCAACAAGACAATAAAAAAGCTCAGCACATCATTCATCTTCTTGTGGTGGACCAATACCGAAAAAGAAAATAATAATAATAAGAAGAATAGCAGCTCAGGATTAAAAACAAAGAAACACACCACTAGTGGCGGGTTCAAAACAAAAAATCAAGTGTTGCCGAGTATTTAAGTATAAAACTTCCCTCACCTCAATTTTTTTTAGAACTGTTATAAACATATTATAAAATAAAGGATTGTGGAATATTTAAGTTTAAAACTAGCCTCTACTTAATTTCGTTAAAACTACAATAAACATAATTATTGATAACCAATACTCTATTATTATTACTATTATTACAATGTATTCAATTTTAAAGTGTTTGAGTATTAAGTGATAAATGAAGACTTCAATATAAATATGGGATGGAAGGAGAGGTTTTGTGTATTAAGTGATAAATGAAGACTTCAATATAAATATGGTAGTAGCCACCCCAACCACCTCCTGATTCCACCACTGCCAGCTAACATTCCGCGCATTATACTTAGTATGGATGCTTTCATTCTAAAAATGAATTGAGATAAAAGAAAAAAAATCCATTCTTTAAAAAAGAGATGAGATAACAAAATAAAAATTCCATTCTCTCCATTACAAAAGCCAAATGTGACAAAAAGATAAGATATTTATTATCCAAATATAGTATGAATTATTAAGTTTTCCAAATAATCTCTTGCCAAATTGAACAACAACAACAACAAAAAAGCCTTTATCCCATTAAGTGGGGTCGGCTACATGAATCTTTTCCCTCCATTATGACCTAATTATTGTCTTATTTTCATTTAGTCCTAATAAATAAAATCATTTTTTTACAATATGCCCAAATCTTTTTAAGTCTACCTTTGTCTTTCCTAACATAAGTTGAATCTAAAACATCTACTCTCCAAACAGAATCATCAAATGATCGACGTTTAATGTGACCAAACCATCTAAGACGACTCTCCCAAATTTTATATGCCACTGGAACTCTCACACTCCAACTGGACCGCCTATAAGTGTCAGCTGAGGTGCAATAGAGGCAGACATATTCGGCCAGACTAAATTCTCAACAACACTCGTCCAAACTTATAGAATCAAGACCTAATGGGCGATGCACTGGTTACAATAAGTTGTCGCAAACATACTTACTACATTTCATTTCACTTGTTTTCTCATATACTCGAAAATATAAAAAATCATATCACTAAAATAAATAAACTAAATTAAAAAAAATAAAAGGTGTGCCTAAAATACTGTACAAGTTCTCAAAACTATAAATGCAAAGCTGTACAAGTCACACATGACTACTCACCCCGGTACACTTTTCCCTGTCCTAAAAATAAATCATGTAGAGTAAAAGCAACAACAAGCTCAGCAAATTAATCAAGACTATAATAAGATTTTATACACGAAAAAGTAACAATTTGCATGCTTGTAAGTTTATACATGTCCACACACAAGTCATAACATATTAGAATTGCACAGCATATGTAAAAAAAAAAATAGAGTATAGAAAATCGTTACGATATAAAACATGTATGTCATTCAATGATGTGTAGACATAAGCATATAATTATAAGCATATTTAAAAATATCATAAACATGGTTTTAGAAATGTCAATTTTAAATGTATAGGCCTTAAATATTTCATGTTATGCAAAATCATGAGTAATCACTATAACATGTCATGTCATGGGTAATCACTATTGCAACAGCAGTTATAAATAGCCCCTCTAATACCAAGAGTTCCTTATATTCCATCACCGTCCGATCACAACAATACCCAAAAGTTCAACTGTCTGAAGGTCAAGAGTTACCATATCCCTAAAGAGTGTACTTGCAAATACTCACGTAATAGTCTACACACAACATCAGTGACATTTAAATCATCAATCACGTATCAAGCATTTATCACAGGCATTTCATACATCATGTGCATGAATTATAGCAAATGAACACCTAAATGAAACAATTTTATAAATATATTATATGTATCATTGCATAGCATCACGTGTATAGTAGAAGTCAACTTGCATTCATACATTTAACCCAGATAGCCGTCCACAATATAAAAGAAATTATAAATGAATCAGATTAAAACGTGGAATCACACAAAAATCGATTGACAATTATTTTTATTAAGCGAAGAAAAGAGTATTTCATCTAAATAGATAAATGAGTACTACGACAACATCTCACGAGCTCGTTTAAAGCTCGTCGCCTCGTATAAACAACCTGAAAATAATCGACATCGTTGAAATTGATGGAATCATAGCTCGTTCCGTGGTTTAACCAAAAACACAACTTATTTGTCAAAACATATCTCAAAATGGCTTCTCGATCTAAATATGTCCTTCTGAAACCTCCTATTTTTCTTCCCTCTTATTCCTATCATTGTGTTCACTTCCACACATTGATTTTGTGTTAATAGCCCTAACGGTAGCTAACAAACCAAATTCAACGCTTCGGACACAAGTTCGACGCCTGCTACGCCTACTAGAAATGAAAATTTGCACAAATTTGATGAAAACATCAAAATGAAAACAAGACGAAGGAACGTTTAGAATAGTGTAAAAGAGAGATTCGTACTCACCTATCTCGTCCGTAAACACACCTCCATGAATTGCTCCTCCAAAACCCTCCACTCACCTCCCTGTTCGCGCCCAGCACTGTAGAAAAGGCCTTTGGACACCTACGGGCGAGCGAAAAAAGTGAGTGAAAGGCAGCGAAATGCAGTACAAAGATAATCCCCCCAAACACTCAATCGCATTATCTCACCAGGCCAATGCATGCACCAAAAAGGCGAAAGATCAGCTAGCTATAGTGAATAGGCAAAATTGGGAGACGATTATGACTAATTAAGGTTAAATTAAGTTATTATACTTAAAACTACTGAATTTCATATCTCTGAATTCTTTTATAATTAATATATAGTGTTTTATATAGAATTGAACGATCTGATGCGTAGAAAGTTATAAAAATAATACGATCAAAATCTAAGAGGTGCAAAATTTGGGTTACTTATAAAATTTACCAAACTTTTTACATGATTCTTATTTTTTTGGGTGTTACGGTAGCTACACCAATCCTTTCATGGATACATTCGTTTCACATCTTATTTCCAAGTATCAAGCTACTCAACCACCAAAGCATACTTACCTCAACAACACTTAATTTTATGCTTCTCTATTAAAAACTACATTTTGCGCCATAAAACTTTGCAAGTCTCACCACCATCTCATAAAATTTTCCCTCAACTCTAGGTGGTAATTCTCTATTACACAATAGCCTCAATGCATTCCTCCACATCAACCAACCAACTTGAATTCTATTAATAACATCTCCATATATATCACCATCACGTTAAACAACAGAATCGAGATATTTAAAACATTCACACCTTCTAATGATTTGATAACATATAGTTATAACTCTAACACAATATCTACTACTACTAAAACAATATTCCATGTACTCAATTTTAGATCTACCCAAACGAAGGCCAAATCGAACTAGATGAAGAAATGATTGTTCAGAATCAAATGCACAAGTTAAAAGCCGATCACCTTAAAAGTTACAAAAATTAAATGAAATCGTTGACATACACACACGCGCAAGTTTAAGTTATAAAATAGCAAGAACACTTGTCCAGAAACCAGCATGGGCAGTCTCAACCCCACCATATGAAGATGCATTATTCATGTTACACTTGCAGCGATTCATAGCAACGCATGGGATTTCAAATTTGAAGATAATTTAATGTATATAAATTAGATTTAAAGAATAGTAATAGCAGCACAAAAGATATATTAAATGAGTTTACCAAGAGTAAATCATCTCCTGGAATAAGTTGGACTTCACAGTGCAACACAAAACTAAGATGTTTTCATATTGATAAAATGAAAAATGACTTCAGACCTTTTGCAGAACGTTTAAATAAGCAACAAGTGCCTGTGCGTCGCCCTCCTGAATATCCGGTAAAGGAGACCCAGAAGAAGAATGCATAGATTGCCTAAATCTCTCATCATAAATAGACAAGCAATCAAATAAGGTACCCCAACCAACTCTCCGAAACATTTTACCCTGTAGCAACTCGAAAACCTTTGAAGCACCTTCTTCTGTAGCAGCCTACAAAAATAAAAACACATTAAGGGGGAAAAAACAACTAGGAGAAATTTTCATGCATAACAATCAATATTTAGTCAACATAGAAAAAAGTTAAATCATTTTCAAATATACTCAATTTTCACATTTCCCCCTAAAATATTTTCTACAAAATTCTAAATTTCGTAACAATCAAATTGATATACAATAATAGTATATACAAATTAGTATATTTGAGTATATAAAAAAATAATCATTAGGTTATATAAATCTTAACTTAATCACCTAATTAAAGTTCATAATTACTGTTAACAGTAAATATAACTGTAGATGTCCCGCTCCACTTTCCATACCATGCAGTGGCTAGATCGAATCATAGGGTTAGGATTAAGAGATTCCGTATATACCTATATGAATAAATGGTTAAACCCTTCCATTTTTCCCATGTTCATTTCTGGCAGCCTGGGATTTTTTTGCAATACCGAAACTGTAGCAGGAAACGGAATAAGCTGAAAGGGTAGACTGGAGTTCAGAAATTTGGGAATAAATCAAAAAGAAGATTCTTAATTTTCCCCTTTGATTTTCATTTCCACTAACCGGGACGCCTCCGCAACTCCAGTGTAGCTAAAGGCGGAATCAGGTGAGGAAGCAGGAAACTGCCGTTCTCAAGTAGCTCCACTTTGGAATTTAAGTATTTCATGAAATTCTAAAGAATAGTATACTCTAGACGGCAGGCTCAAGTCAAGCCTGAGGACACTCGTTACGAGGTTGTAACGCAATTCAGATGAGATAATCATGCGCTAAATTAAAAATAATAACCTTTTATAGCATTACTACGTGATTTATTGCTGTGTCACTATAATTAGAAAGTTTTAAAAGTGATATTCCTAGGACTCTAATTATTGATAATGTAATAGTTACAAATATTCATAAAATTGTGCATTGAATGAATGAAATATTTGTTTGTCATTGTTCAGTATTGTTAATTGCATTCATACCCATTTATTTTAAACATTTGATATGATTAAAGCACACTTATGCACATATTTTTATCACTCATATTAGTCATTGTGAGCTTGTACATTGCTTAACTTCATCTATAAAAAATTCCTTTAGCCTTAATTATTTTGTTGAGCTTATAGCTCACCCCTATATTTTAAAAGATTTTCAATAAGGGTAGTCAGGTGTGTTAATGTACGCCTTTTGGATTGCATAGTTTTGGAAATTGTAAAGACATTTGAGGTATGAATCTTTATATGTTTCATTTTTAGCAACTCTACATATAAGTTTGGTGAAATCATTATGCATGCTTTCAAGCAATCAAGAATGTTAATGAATTATGAATCGAATTAAATTGAGAATGCTTGCAACGATTGAGTGAAACTAATTTGTTATCCACTGAGTTCTTATTTGTGCAAGTCAGACCTAGGGGGGGTGAGAATTTTGTCTAGTTGAATCGTTCATCTCTAATGCACCACGGTTCATTCATATTTACATAGTTAACATATAAAAGTTTATGTTTACTCACATAACACTCAATTTTTTAAATAGAATAATAAATACCACATTCTCTCTATTATTAGGAGTTAACTTCCCATCATACCTTATATCAAAGCACGACAATCATGGCTAAGAAACGGGCAACAAGTCATGCAGAATGGCAAGTCAAGAATAAACACAAGGTCATACACGTACTGGCGGGTCGTGAGCATACAAAAGGTCACATGCATGGCTACATGCTCCAACACCTTGGACAGGATGTTAATGAAGAGTGATAGTTCAATAAAAAGAAACTTTTAGATGTTAAATATGTAAATAGGAATGTTAAGTGTTCTGTATATACTCCCCTAAAAATTTAATTTCCATGACCAATTTACACTAAAACAAAGTTGGATGCATGATTACTTAACAAAATTCACGTAAAACAATGTCTAATATCTGATGGATAACGACACATCTAATGCAGCACTGAAACCTATCAAACGACACATCCAAAAATAGAACATCTAAAATTTTTAAAACATGTGTCAGACATAACAAATGCACGCTTTTCTAAACTTTGTATTTGTTTCTTTCCACTTTCAAAGGCAAAGAAACATCCCCATCCCTGCAACTACTTATGCTAAACATTATGAACAATTGTAATACTAGGATTTGTTATTCACATTTGACCTTTCATGTACTACTACATTACGATTGTATATTTATTTCCATAACTTAATAGAACTAATATTAACCTCTACTCCAATAGTCCAGGTTTGCGTGCTACAATTATTAATATTTTTCACATCCGTGCCTTCCACATGTTCATATATCAAATCGAAAGTAAAGAGTCTCTCATACCAATGTTTTAAGCATTCCAAGAAAAGCCACAAGTGTAGGTATGTTAGCAAGATCTTCTCCAGCAAAATTAACAAATGACCACAAATCTTCATTTCCAAGTACCAGCTCCGGTTGCCTCTGAAAAAAATAACATATTTAGCAAAAAGTAAAAAAAGAGAAAAGAAAAGTTCTGCAATGTGAAAAAAGAAAAAAAAAAGGTCACACTTCTACGGCGTTCAGAGAAACCCCTATGCTACAACATAAACAGAAGTAGAAAAGCATGACCTAAACATTTTATGTGGCACAGATAACTAAAGTTCAGAAAGAAAAGATATACTTAACATAAAACTTAAGGGAAGTCCTCTATAGAAAAACAGTCAGGTTATAACATAAAGAATCGAATAAATCAGCAAAAAAAAAAATAAACAAAGAAGTTGCAAAACAAATATAGTAATCTGTGAAATGTTGCTGCAGAGTTTAGCATTTAAAATATAAAAAGCATGCATCAGAAAATCATAATTTGATTCCTTATTTGTATTAGAAATAAATGCTACAAAACATCTGCAAGGTCTTAAAAAATAGAGGATGATATTAATGGATCACTCCAGTGATCGCTAAGGATTGCACAATAGTAGGCTAAACTTACATGTATGATTTAACATGCTGGTAAAAAACACTGATCAGGACCCATAAAAATTTTTTTTTTCTTTTCAAATTCAGTAAATCTGTTTTCTGATCAGCAACCATGACCACCAGTCCACCACCACTATCACACATCACAAAAATAGAGTTAAAAAAAAAACCAATAAAACCATATATGATGCATGTGCCCAACCCAAAGGACCTTTATAATCTAGCTAGACTCGATTAAATGACAACTTGCCAAAGTCTAACTGAAATCATAGATGTGAATATTTCTGATCATTCCAAAGTCCCATTAACTAGGAGCATGAGCCATTCAAAGCCTCGCTTAAGGAAAAAGGCTTGTTTTTTATAAGTGCGGCCTACATATCATCGACGGGGCCATCCCATAATCTAATACAAGCTTGTTAAACCCAGCGTGACCATCCATAGAATAAGATTTGGATATGCTGATATGGCCGCAAAATGCAGTCTGGCTTCACGAGTATGCTAGATTAACAAGTGACATGATCCATACAAATACTTAGCCAAAAAAATGGCTTGCTTCTAAGTAGGGCTAACAAAAAGGCTCGTTGTTCGTGAAGAGCTCGTGTTCGGCTTGAGATGTAGCTCGTGTTTGATTCGTTCACTAAGGAAACTAGCTGAACACGAATATCTTTTTTCGCGCTCGATGTATAAACGAGTATCTTTGTTTGCACCCGATATATAAACGAGTCGAACACGTACAAAGATTTGTTCGACTATTTTTGGCTCGAAAAATATATATATATATATCTGTGTGTGTGTAGTATTATTAAATAGATAATAGGATACAGATATATTGTGTGGGAGGGCCCTAACATGGCACCCTGCCCACACGATAACCACCACATCAAGTAGTTCCAAGAAAAGAAAATACAAAAAAAATATGAGAGACCTAAACAAAAAACAAAAAGTGTAAAAATACAAGATAACAGGTAGTTAGAGAGTGACCCAATTTTGTATTGCATCCGTCTCTATTTCTTGGCAAGGAGTCAGCTAATAAATTGGTAAGATGAATGTCGTTGTCTGTAATAACCAATGTATCATCCAATAAACTCCCGAGCTCGAGTCGGCCTCCATTCTTCTTCTTTGTCCTGAAATAGACTTGTCATTCCTCATCCGAAAGTTGGCTCACCTGATCAGTGGATTGGTCTAAAGTGTGTCAGACATATGAAGATTGTTGAACATTAGAAGCAACTACTTGTTGTACCAGCTGTTCTTTTATCGGATCGAAGGAGTACTCTCGCGAGTCTTGGCATATAAATTGGTTTTCTTAAATAACAGTGAGTGTTATAAGCATATTTGGATCTGTTCCAGTAGCATGGTGTTTTTCACCTGGAACTGCGATGTTGGAAAGAGGATCGGATTGCACCTTCTCAGCAAAGATGGTAAGTGGCTAACCCTTAAAGATATTCGAAGGATGCAAGCGATAACAAATAGCAGAACTATGGTCAAACATACTACAATGAGAGCAATAAAGAGGGTGTGGTTTTATTTCAACATTTTACCAATATCCGTTATGAGTGGTGTCAATTCATACCTCATCGGGAGTTGTTTGAGTGATATCCTCTCAACTAACACACAAGTCACAGAGAGTCTGGAAACAGCAAGCATAGGACTATCAACCTTGAGAGGCTTACCATAAGCAGTTGCTAAATAGTAGAAAATTTT